CTTGGGAGGTATCGCTTTTGGGATTAGGTATCGCTTCCTCAGCTCATGGCACTCATTTCCTTCTGCAGTACTGCTACAAAATGCTACCATTTAGATGCTTGCTCACTTGGTTCAGTGACTGTTCATTGTTTCCAGCCAATAGCTGAGTTGAGTACTTTGTTGTGTGGGTGTGAGAGCAGAAGGGTTAGGTGTGGTGTCGTGATGGGGGGGAGTTGATATGACTAATTGTTGTGGTTGGGCGCGAACCAAGTCCGGCGACATACCTTGATTCCAGATAGCTCTGCTCCGGCTATAGCAAGATCCCCATATACCCTACATTCTATCTACTTTTAGGGGGTCTATAGGGTCCCCAACTCCCAAACCCTTAGAGTTGTTTGCGGTGAAGAAGCGTCTTAGCTGATTTCGTGAAAGACGAGCAGGTGCTGGTTGGGACATGGGGACACTGGTGCGTGTTGTTGGCCTTTGGTGCAAATCAGAGCATGCTGTTCGCCTGCTAGGAGGATTGTCGTAGTGACGTCCAGGCTAGCTCAAGGGAGGTTGGGGTTGGGACTTGTCTTGATAAAAAAACTCAACAAAGCGTGGTTGGGAGTAATTATGCCTCTCCAGCGGATGTGATCAGGAACATATTGGACATACGGATATAAGAAACGAATTCCCAGAGTTGGTTGTCAACGGAATTCGGATATATTCCAAAATTCCTTACCACCCCGCCCCCCCCATTTCAGAGGCGCCAAAACCGCAAATTGAAATGCATACAGCACAGATCTCCACCAAAAATGTTTGTATTGTGTATTCGTGTTCACGCTGATTGCTCAATTTTTTGTTTTCAAATCTTTCCCATACGGCAGGTGGTCAAGGTTATGGTACTGTTTGGTGCCCCTGGAATGCAGTTTGACAACCTCTTCCTAGTTTGTAGCTTGAACCTTGCCAACAAACATGACTAAGAAACTTCTCCCAGTAGCAGTCTCCTTCTGGCCCTTACAAGGCAATCCCCCCTCATTTGGGGTTGGGGTGGAGAGATAGCATTTGGGTTAAGCGTTTTGTCTATGGTCAAGTGTAAAGACGTTCAGGGTTTTGGAGGAGGGGAGGTTCTTTCGATTCAGCTTTTTTGTGGAAAGCAGTGACCTTATAACCATGGCGCCCACCCCACCCTCCACACCTCCAACCCCTACCGACCTCTCACCCTCACTCACCACAACGCCCCTTCACCACCATCATCATCTTCCCACTACCCCCCGACTTACCTACCATGCACACCCCACCCCACTCAGCACATACTTCTACTACGTCCACGTCCAGCTTTCGAATCCAGTGTCATCGGAGCCTTCTTTACCCACAACGAAGTGCTTCATGAAGCCAACGATTACAACCACGCAGCCTCCAGCGGACCCAAGCAGCACTCAGGCTGCCCTCAGCATCCCAAGGCACCCGAAGCTGAAGCTGTCCATTGCCCCAAGAACAAAGCAGTGTTTACTGGGAATCGGTGGGGGTTTTTGCTTTTGAAGGTGTCCGGGACTGGTCGCGCCGGCACAGCTGCAGCAACAGATCTGGGCACGTGCCAAAACGATTGGCTTGTAACAGTGCCCTTGGCCCACACCCGTTACATAC